TTCCAGTTTGTCCAATACCATTGCAAACTACGGTGCTCAGAAATAAGCTTCCGGAGAGGTGAGAACACAGTAGGGCAGAATGTGGATATCATCTTGCCTTACTAGACACCTAGTAGTATATCTGAAGATCACAGTGATCTGTTGAATCAAATAATATACATGCCTTAAAAAGAAATCTCAGCAACCACTATAGTCATGCTTCTGAACTGAATGTGAAGGGCACACCTCATAATAAATTGTGTGCTAGTTAACCTCCAAAGACTGGTGTCCTCTATGTGTTCTCTCCTTCTCTCCTGGGTGAGTCACGCCCCAAGATACATGGGCCAGGCCCATGACAGTGCTGATCAATGGATTATGGAGGGAGTTCTGGTCTAGGGCCTCTAAGGCTGTGTGTTTAAAGACCTGGCAGCTTTCATGCCCTTTGAGCCTGAGCTTCATGTATGAAGGACGGACCCTGCTAGACAGAGAGGCCATGTGGAGAAGCCCTGGAGATGAGACAGTGTCTGGAGCAATGGACCCCACCAGCTATACCAAGGTGCTGGCATGAGGGCCAGGCACCCCACCCTGAGCCCCAAGCATTGTGAGCAGACTAGTATTGTTGAGAACCCACTGGGCTGCCTGTCTGTGGGTCCTTACCCACCCGCTTAAGCTTCAACTGCACTGCAGGCACACACAAAAAGGGTCAATAATGGATTTATTTACAAAGGGGAAAGAAAAGGAACAACCCAGGGAAAGAGATACAAGTTAGCTAGTGCATCCTACCAGTTTTGCTGACTTGGAACCCCAATAACACACTGAAAGCTCATTAAGAGCTAAGCAACCAGCAACCAGCCACAAGGCCAAGGGAACAAGAAAGAGAGAGAGAGAGAGAGAGACTCAGTTCAACGTAGCTCCTCTATATACCCCAAAAGTCCGAAAATGCCTGCTTAGCTCTGCCCTTTGGCCTGTGGTATTGCTGAGAGTTGTAGTTTCAATGGCTAGAGTAGGGGGTGAAGCTGTAGTTTTAATGACTGAAATAGGGGTTGGAGTCCACAAAATCTGTATCTGCAGAGTTCATTCAGGACATCCTTCCCCGCTACCAGTATCTTGCTGGGTCCTGTCCAGATCACTGATCTGCAGAATCCCAGGAATAAACAAATTGAGTTTTGAATTCATTTTGATTCAATGGATAGCTAAAACATGTTGTTAGGGTGAATAAAACAGCATGCAGAATAGTAGAGCAAGTTAGTTCTTTTCATATTTGTGTGTGTGTGTATATAGAAGTATATTATAGTTTAATTGTTTGTGTTACTATACAAGTTATCTCTGGAACATAAGATCAATGGTCGCTTTAAATCTCATCTTTCTGCATTTCAGGTTTTTTTTGGTAATTTTTATTTTATAACAAAAATTCTTAATATCACATCTTTTTTAACAAGTACTTTACATTAAACTATACATGTATGTGGGCATATGTTTGTGTGTGTACAGTAAAGGAAGTAAATATATCTCCAAGGGCAGTTTCAACATAGCTCATTCCCATGAGAATGGCACCAGAGAAAGTGCAGGCTTTATGGTAAGAATCTCTTGCCTTGAAATATTTGGCCTCCCCTACTTGGTGACCTCACTGGAGGAAGTTCTCAAATCTCGAGCTGTATACTTCAGCTATTCCACTACTGTAAAGCTCCTGTTTATGTGGTGATGAAAGAGCAGTCACCATGGCAACGAATATGACTGAATACCAGAAAGTGTCTAAAATTGGTAAAAGTGCCTTGTCAGGGTTTCCTCTGAGGAGTAATCCTTTTCCAAGGACTAAATCTCTTCCTCTCCAGTGAGAACAATAGTGTCAGAGCACCTTGCCCAGTCCTAGGCAAAATGAGGTCGGGTCAGGCTGAAACTGATTATTGCAAAAAAAAAAAAAAAAAAACCCAAACCACAAAGGAGCCCCTTCCTATTCAATACTCTGGCTTCTTTTCATTGAGCTGCAAGCCGTCTGCTTTGCCACCTTGGGTCCCTCAGTTTCTGGTTCTCAACACGGGGCTCTTTCTTTAGTTGCCTTTCTGGTTCTCTTTATCTGTTTCTGATGCCCTTTCCTCCTTTGATGTCCACTGTTGGTGTGACCTCAGACCCATTTTCCATCCTTTGATTTCTCTCCTCACATTCTTGCTCTCTGAAGTGCCTTCCCTCTTACTTTTCTCCTTTTCTTGCAGTTACTACACAACTCCCGTGTCAGAGCTGTGGGCTAACGTGTCATTCCCACACACGCTCTACAACCTCCAAGTCCAGGACCCACAGGACACTTCACTTGGGCAGCATCACCTCCAGGCTGGGGTTGTACTTATATTTCCAGTTCTTGCCTCTTCTCTTACCAGGTCACTAACCATCATGGGCTCTAGGCTCCCATCTGTGAACTGCTGCATTTCTAGGAAGCCACCATTGACCTTTATCACCTCCCTGACTTGCCCTGTCATTTCCTCTGCCAGGAAAGCCCCCCACCCTTGGCATCCAGATGCCTCCCACTAGGTTGGGCTAGTTCTCCTCCATGCTCCAAGAACTAACTTGCTCTACTATTCTGCATATTTGTCATACGCAACATCATGGTTTTAGTCCTGTCTGTCTCTTCCTCTAGGCTGTGAGCTCTCTGAGGGCAGGCATTGTGTCTTATTCATGCTGATGTCCTGGAGACCGGGAAAACATAAGTGGACATGTCATCCCTATTTCAAAATCACCACTTTCAAATTGTCCCTACTGGCCCTGCATCCTAATGATGTAATTTTCCACAGATTTTCAGTCTTCAAGGTATCTTTGTTGCATGTCTTTTGTTCTATAAGTTTTGATGACACTCCTACTACAATTTCCCACAAATTAGCATTTGCTCATTGCCACATTCACCACCCTACTCCTGTTCCTTAGTTTATGCTAATCACATTCAGGGATTCTGCCAGGCCTCCCTGATCTGCCACCTCCCTCATCTAGGAGAGAACAGGGTTCCTGCCTCAACCCTGTGCTCCCTCATCTCTGTACTGGTACACCAGATTCAAGGCTCTAAATTTTGCCACGTAGGTCCAAAAGCCACAACTTGGCATCTACAACTCACAAATTAAGCTTCCTTCCTCCACAGAAGGAAAGTTAATGTGTAAAATCGCCCCTAAACTTAAACTTCTATGTTGAAGTCCTAATCCTCAGTACCTCAGCATGATTCTTTATTTGGAAGTAAGAGCTTTACAGATGTAATTCATGAAAATGAGGTCATGCTGAAGCAAGGTGGGTCCAACCCAATCCAACAGTGTCCATGTGACAAAGGAAATATGGACACAGAGTCATGCACACAGGGAGAAGATGGCCATCTACAGCCAAAGAGAGGCCTGAACAGGTCCTGCCCTTCCAGCCCTCAGGAGAAACCAGCCCTTCCAGTCTCTTGATTTTGGACGTCTGGCCTCCAGATCTGAGAACTTCTGCTGTTGTAAGCCACCCAGATTGTTGGACGTTGTCCTAATAGCCTCTACCTCAGTTCCCCAGCCTGAAATTCCCTTTTCAGTTATGAGCTCTAATTAGCCAACTCTGCCAGAGGTGTTAGCCCACTGCCTCAACCTTGTTCTCTGCTTGTGTTTTAAGTACATTTCTGACTCCCTAACAAGATTCTAATTCCTCAAGGGTAAACCTTTTCTTTGTGCTTCTTTTTCATCCCTGACAGGGCCTGGTACTTGGCTGCCCTGCAGAGCAGGCTAAATTAAGTGGCATTTCCCCTAGAGGGTGATTTCTTATTTGGTCAATGCTATACAGTTCCTCTAAACCAACTGAGGTCAGATAAGAGGCCACAGGCACAAGGAAACCAGGAGGGAGGCTGATCAGTAGTAGTTCTAAGGGGTTCCTGTTGACTGTGGGGAGTACGTGGAACCATAAGTATTAGGCCTGGGAGGCCCAATGGAGAGAAATCATCTAGTCCCAATCTCTTCACTTTGCAGTAGAGGACACTAAACTTCTGGGTGTTAAGGGCTGTCATACCACACAGTCAGAATTGGTGTATCAGCTGGATCCCCTTCTTTCCCAACCAGTGTTGCCTGCCCCATAGAGGGGGGTAGCCTGCCAGAAGGGCCTTGTGAAGGTAGGTCAGCATGCTATAAGCCCAGGAATTTACAAAAGCACCAGTTCAATTAATACAAAGGAGAGGCCCCTGTAACAAAGATTCGGGGCAGCAGTGTGGCTGACAGAACTGCAAGACAGAGCTCTGGAAAAAGTTGGTGCCACTGCACAATCATGATGGTCAGTGTGTGTGTGTGTGGCTGCAGTTGCTATTCCACCACAGCCCAGGCAGATTCCGGTCATCTGTCAGGACAGGAGGTCCTCGTGCACAGGGCATGGTTGGAATGCTAGGCAGTGATACGTTTGTATGTGAAATGTGGAGGTTGCTATCACTGTGTCTTGATGCACTGAAATTATTCCCCAGGGCAACTAATGAGATACCAAGACCTCTCCTTTGCAGTAACCCTGACCTTTGCAGAACAAAATCAAAAAGAGACATGCACAGAACTCTGTTATCCCTGGAAGAAGGCATTGAATCCAAACACAAGAGCCCATTAAAGCAAATGATTGAGTAACTGGTAACCATCTAGTCAGCAGCCCTTCAAAAATTATGCCATAAAGAGGTTTTAATGGCCTGAGAAAATATTTATGATAGTATTGAGATGGAAAATACAGGATATTAAAAAAAATATATCTTCAGGAACTCAGCCACAGGAAGGGCATGTCCCAAAAGGCAGAGTCTAGTTGTGAGTTTTGACCTACTTTTATTTTTCCCCTGTGCATTCCAAAATTTTATGGTGAGTATGTATCATTTACAGGGCAGGAAAATAATTGTGGTTTTAAGTTTTAAGTCTCTGCTCATGTGTTTAAAAGGATAGACAAGTTCAAGGTTGTCAGACTCATTCTCTATGGCTTTGCAATGCTACTGTTACGCTTTCCAGAAATGTTCTCTCCCCAGGAGGTTATCCCAGTCCAGATGGGTCACCTCATTTACTCACATTCAGAATATTTCTGGAGTTGATCGAATTCTTCTGCAGTGAGGGACATCCACCGTTCTTCACTCATATTTCTGCTGGGTGTGAGTGCTTGGGGCAGAGACCAAGTTGTGTTCATCAGGGTGAAACTGAGGCCCAGTTCGGTGTCTGGCTCATCGCAGGCACACCATGGGCAGGCCCATGGTGACTTCGGGAGGACTCAGGTGTCTACAGCAGTAGCGGGCACCTTCCAGCCAGTGAGAAAAGACTTCTACTCTTCCTCAGCCCCGTCCCATCCTGCTACCAGCAGCCAAGGCAAATTTGGAAATCCTTGCCTCCCTGAGTAGAAGAAAATACATCAGAATGAGAGTGTTAGAATATATGTCATCTAATATATATATTTTAAAAATCCCCAAGTGTTCTTTGCTGAGAAATCTAAAGGAATTAGAGGTTCTCAAGGGATGGGTTTCCCTTCAGTGGTGAGTGAAGAGGGCAGAGAAAAGAGACCAGCATAACCCCAGACACCTGTTTGTCTCAAGTGGGGTAAGAGGCCTGTATGAATAGGTGGCATATTCCTAAACTCTAGGAAATGTTAAGTGTCTCACATTAGAGGAGGACTTAAGGCCCCCTGAAGACACCCCCAGTCATAAATATGCCTCAGGCTGTTGGGTGCCTCCTGAGTGAAGGAAGGCAGCTGTGTGGGTGACCGGAAAGGTGAGCCATAATCTCCCTCACTGATTTTGAATTCCATCATTAGAGCTGTTTACCTTCTTCTGATGAGTCACTCTGGTAATTCAAATAACCTGAGGCTGCTAACATCCTAGAATCTGAAACAGTTCTCTTTCCTCTCAGAACCATGCAAGAATGACAGAGAGAAGGGCCCAGTGTGGTGGAGTGTAAGGAGGGAATGGGACAGATTTAGACATACAGACTTAGCATTTTTTCCTTTGAGCCAGTTTACTGGGTTGTGAAGTAAATGTTACGTACCACAACCAGCAGTTAAAAACATGAAATGGAACAGGGTGGAATGGAATAAAATGAAATGGCACTGAGTATAAGAAGGTCTCTCTTTTCAGGTTTTACATACATACGTTTAATGATCCTAATGTAAAATGTATTTGCTATTCTAGGATAAAGCCTCAACTAATGCTGGAAGGCCGCCAAACTATTAGGAGAAGTAAAAACCAACTGAAACACAACCTCTGATATTACCAAAACAAAGCTGGTTTCAATCAAACATAATCTAGAATGGAGACAGACTTCAAGGCAAATCCAGGGAAGGGAAATGATGAAGGGGCCGATTTGGACAGTTTTCTGGAAGACTGTATAGACTTGATTGGTGCGGACTGAGAACACTGTACTAGAGCTGAGGGAAAGTACTGGAGGGATTTTGGCTCTGTTAGGAAGACCTTCCACCAGTTAGGGCTTTCCAACAATAGTGGAATGCTTGGTTAGGGAGTGGGGTTTTTGCATCCCTGGGTAGACCCGCGTTTCAGTTTCTTTTCTTAAAACAAAAAACCAAAAACCACTTCTTGGAGTCTGCTCAGTGAAATAAGCTAGAAGGAGAAAGAGAAATACTGGATGGTGTCATTTATAGGTGGAATAGAGAGAAACCAAAGAGGCAAAAATTTAAACTAACCCTTAAAAGTTGCCTATGGAGGCCCTCCCTGGTGGCGCAGCGGGTTAAAGCACTGCACTAAGAAGCTAAAGCCGCTTCCGCGTGAGTTCGATCCCCGCCTGTCCCGGAGGTGACCACATGGCGCAGCAGACCTCTCCTGACCCGCCCGCTGCTCCCCTCAGCAGTGTACTTCGTCGATCTGCCTGTTCTGCTCCCCACTCTGTCTCTGGTGAATCCTCTCACCACCCCTGCTCCTCTGGCCTGTACCCCAGCTCTGTATGCAAATAAATAAATCTTTAAAAAAAACAGTTGCCTATGGAACTGAGACATACAGAGGGGAAAGTGGGATGGGAGGAGAGATGAGAGCAGGGTGGGGAGAGAGTGGACTGTGGTGGAGGAATCTGGGTACCTTAGTACTGGATGCTCTATGGTAACTACATTGGAAGGGGGGAGCCATATGCTTCCAAGATACTGACAAGGATGTAAAACAATGGCACTTCAATAAAAAAACTAAAAAAAAATACAATCTTTAATATACTAACCAACTGGGCCTGCTCCTCGTACTGCTCTTGCCAAGGTGAACATTGGTGGCCTAGTAGTCCAACCCACCAGATGCCTTTCTGGCCTTCCTTGCTTCGTTCGCTCTTCTGAAGCCCTTGTCATACCAGAAGACATGTGCCTTGAAACTATCTTATTATTCTGAGTGTTCCTCCTCTGTCTCCTTCCACCTCTGCTTCTGTCATTGTTTAAAACTGGTGTTCCAAAATGCTATAGCCAGCTCTCTCCTTTCAAGACCCTTTCCCTGAGGGAGCTCATCCACTTCCTCAGTTTCAACCACCCCTAGCCTACTGTTCCGACCCTACACACTCTTCTCAGTCCTCATCTGACTGTTCACTTGTCTGCTGTGATTCCCCTGTATTAGCACCTATTACACCCTGAACCTGTCCATCCCTATGTACCAGTCTAGCTGTGTGAGAGCTAGACCAAGGCCAGAGACCGGAGGCTCTGTCTGAATTCCTCCCTTTCTTCTTCTGCCAGTCCATGTACCAATCCATCACTGCCCCCTCCTCTTCATCACACCGGCAGGTTCATTCATTCACTGGGATGAATATCATCACCACTTTCAGGTCTTTGCCACTGCTGCCCGTTGGGGTCCTGCCTTGGGGCTTGGTTTTCCTTCCCGAGGTCTGCTCTCTAAATTGGCAACCAGATCACATCTCTCCTAGTAATAAAATTCTTCAGTGGTTTCTATTGCCTATAGAATGAGATGTAATCTTCTTTTCCTGATTCACAAAGCTCTTTATGATCTGGCCTCTGATTACCAATTCAGTTCAAAAGCTAGGGTGACCTTTAGAAACATTTTCCATCTTACCAGCAAATTCAATATTACAACTAGTGTTACAATTGTTGCTGATACCCTTTAATGGACACTTATTATACACTGTGCTACATGCTATATGTTGTGTAATTTTGTAGTTAATATATATATAAGATAACTATGTAAATCAAGCATTGTCTACCCCTATTTTTAGATGAAGAAAATGATGCAAGGTGTTGTGTAACTATAGTGAGGAAAAAGAAGGAACCACGAAGCCTTTAAGAATGCCTCTCTGAACTTAGCCAGTCTATATACTTTGCAAAGCACAAGCTCTTAGAAACTCAGAGATATGCTAGAACACTACTGGTCTTGAAATCATATGACAGGGGAGTCAGATTCTGGCTCTGCTTCTTATTAGCTAATTAATGTTAGAAATACTTTTCTGGAGCCTTGGTTTATTTCATCTCAAAAATGGGAATACTAACCAAAAAAATCTGTTAGTGTTAAGACTGAATTTATATGTGCAAAACTCAAACCCAACTCTTACAGGACCCTACCAAACACAATCCCTATCACACATAGGCACTCAGAAAATATTACCCTCTTTTCACAAATATAACACACAGCAGCTGGGTGAAAAGTCTGTTGTGTCATAAGCTTCTGAACTTGATCTTAACCTGTACTAGCTATTGTAATTTCATGATTACTCATCAAAATTTTATCCACTAGTTTTAGCATCCACTGATGATTTTTGCCTGGACTAATTAATTATTTGATTAATTACTAATTAATTTCTAGTCCTATATTTATCATATGGGATTCCTTCTATATCTATTATTTGGGATTCTATTGTTAGGAAGAATCTTCCCTACCCTTTGTTTCTTTATGTCAGTTTATTTGTATTATACATACTGTACAAAGAAATATTAGAGATATAAAAAAGTATATAAATAGTATAACTGCATGTTGAATGCTTATGTTATATACTTATTTATTTATATTCATGCATTTTTGTTTTTTACTATTATCATTTGCTTTGATTCTCAGTTGTCCCAGATTTGGCCTGTGAAAGCTCAAAGTGGTTTCTTGTTCTTTAGATATACCCCCATCATTTTGGGGGGCATAGCTTTCGTTTTTGGCACTTCAAAATGTTATAAATTTATGCAGTCAGTGCTAGTTCTGTAATCAGTTATTTTTCCAAAGGACCCTGATTCCTTTAGTGGACAATTGTGTCTGAAACTAGGCATAGGGACTAAAGGTGTTAATTGCTAGTGTCAAAGTGTCATTGTTCCTAAGTTCTATCAGGAACAGAATTAGGAAATATATGCAAATACACACATCTCAGCTCTCTCTATCATCTATCCACCCCTCCAAGTTAAAAACTCCCAAGTTCATACTCATGCCTCCAATTATAGGTCATCACTATAGTGTAAATTGTAAATCCTGCCCCACATTTTGAAACTCATTCTTCAATGAGCTTAATTTTCATTACCCATAAAATACTTATTTGGGACCCTCCCTGGTGGTGTAGCAGGTTAAAGCACAGCACTAAGAAGCTAAAGCCACTCCCGCATGAGTTCGATCCCTGCCTACCCCGGAGGTGACCCACATGGCACAGTAGACCTCGCCTGACCTGCCCGCTGCTCCCCTCAGCAGTGTACTTCGAGGATCTGCCTGTTCTGCTCCCCACTCTGTCTCTGGTGAATCCCCTCACTGCTCCTGCACCTCTGGCCTGAACCCCAGTTTTGTATGCACAAATAAATAGATCTTAAAAAAAAGATACTTATTTGCCCAGCCCTACAATACACAGAAAGTTGTTTTAGAATTGCTAGGCATATCTCTCAGTTCCAAGATTTCTTTATAGTATTTTGTGTTGAAGCCCAACAACATAGCAAAAAAAAAAAAAAATACTGTGTTCAAAGTGATTTAGATTAGTTTTTTCCCATTTGCTTCTGTTTGCATTTCATGTTAATGTTTTTATTTTTTTCCATCCTTATTGATTTTTTTAAAGTCTAGTTCCAACAGTACATTCAAGGACCTTGTTTTCCACCATTCCTTTCTCTATGCTCCTATCCCTCTCTTTCCATCTATTTCCTACTCATATCTTATAGTTTCTAACCTGTTTTTCCAGTGTTTAATTTTGCTTTCTTTCTTATATAAAAAGCAGTGCTTTTATATATATAATTTTATCATTTGTGTGTTGTTTGTTTGTTTGTTTGTTTGTTTGTTTTACTTAAGAAGAAAACAATGAACAACTATAAACCAGAGACATTTTATGGGGATGGGAGGGGGAATGGGATTGGAACTGGGTTGGGAAGAGTGCACTAGACTGTGGTGATGGCACACGGGTGAATTGGTGATGGGAGGCCCATGGGGATTACAACTGAGCTGAAAAAAATGCAC